ACACACCCACACACACACACACACACACACACACACACACACACACACACACACACACACACACTTTACACACACACACACACACACACACACACACACACACACACACACACACACACACACACAGTGTTTTAATGCATTCATTATTATTAATTAATTAATTTTATAACATCATAAAAATTATCTATTCATCATTACACCTTTAGAAAATATAATATAAAAATATAAAATTAAAACACATGACAATCAAACCATTAAATATTACAATGCATTTTAACTTTGGTTACAGTTATTTATGAAAAAGATACGAATACCTTTATCATGCATTATACATAAAGACTGTAAGTAAAGTGTTACTGATATCTGAATTGGAAAACAAGACAAAAATCCTGAGTAAAAAATAAATTTTTTGTAATAATTTTGTGTAATGTGGGTACATGAGATATCCATTACTCAACATTCAACATCTGACAGATAATGTTTAATAAGTGCAAATATTCCATGTGTTTGTTTACAGTAGTTTTGATTTTTCTATAAATGTGCAAGCAGCAGAAGAGATGAAGAACTGTTCAGAGCTTGAAGTCTGCTGCAGAAACAGAAAAACAAGCCTGATATTTTCTGTTTCTAATACTGGCCTAATCAAATCAATGCTGATAATGTCTTTAAAACGTCCTGATAACTGATTTGGTCGCTCACTGAAATATTGTGCGGCTCTGATATTCAATACAACGCTCATATTTTACCGCTTCTTCACCGCAGCACTTTGTAAATCAAATCAAAGCAGAAACACAAAGCGTTTCATATCTTCAGCTCTGAAAGCCTTTATAAATAATCACTTCTGCAAGCAAGCGTCTCACCCTGAACTCCTCTTTGATTGGACTGGAGTTGGTCTGAGGATCCAATCGGTTCATGTCGTAGTAAACCGAGCGAAGCTGATTGGCTGGGATGGTGGTGTCGCCGCAGAGACACGCCTCCAAGATGGCGTCATGAATGAAGACATACTGCTCCTGACAAACACAAGAAAGCAGATCCAGTACGACTGAAGACTATCAAATGATGACAGAACGTTTTTTTTTTAAAATAAATTACTACTTTTGTTCTTCAAGAACACATTAAATTGATCAAAAATGCTGTTCTTCTGAACTTTCTATTCATCTGTGAATCCTGAAAAATAAAATGCATCACAGTTTCCACAAAAATATTGTGCAGCACGACTGTTTTCAACATTGATAACAAGAAATGTTTAAAAAGGAAATTGAAATGAAATATTTTAAGTATTATTATTATTATGATAAATGTTTAATTTGAATTAAAATTAAACAATTATTAACTATTAATATACATTTTAAATTAATGCAAATATGTAAATATAAATATCATTAATGTAATTAATTTGTAATTAACAAATTTTAAAATAAATCTTTAAAAATTGTATAATTTTAAATATTAATATAATTGTTAAATTAATATAAATATGTAAATATATTACAAATAAAATAACTGTAAATTAATATAAAGATATTTTTAATATAATTAAGGAAAGAAAATTAAGCATTTTTTAATTAATAATATAAAATCTGAATTAAAATTTAGCAATTTGAATTATTAATATAAATGTTAAATCAATACAAATATGTAAATATATACATATATAAATATGTCATTAATGTAATTAAGAAAATGAAAACTTTGAAAAATGAAATTTTTAAAAATTATTAATCAGCATATTATTATGATTTCTGAAGATCATGTGACACTGAAGACTGGAGTAATGATGCTGAAAATACAGCTGCGCATCACAGAAATAAATTACAGTTTAACAGAGATTCACACAGAAAACAGTTATTTGAAATTGCAATAATATTTCACATTTCTTCTGTATTTTTGATCAAATAAATGCAGCCCTGGTGAGCAGAAGAGACTCTTTCAGAAATCTTTTGAACAGTACAGCAGGTCATTGCCGTGTAATGAATCAGCTGTAGTTTTCTGCAGAAGTAACTGCTTGATTTCCTCCGTCGCTGTGCTGCTTTTCTCTCTTCATCTGCTTTGTATTCATGGAATTTGTCAGCGTTGCGAATGCAGATGCCGCTGTGATTGCACTCATTTGTTTCACGAGAGACTTTGACGGCGTAAAACAGAAAGAACATCAAACTGTATTAGCAGCGAGTCGTCATGCGTGATGCGACGAGCGTTTGATGGAAATAATCCTGAAAAATAAAATGCATCACAGTTTCCACAAAAATATTGTGCAGCACGACTGTTTTCAACATTGATAACAAGAAATGTTTAAAAAGGAAATTGAAATGAAATATTTTAAGTATTATTATTATTATGATAAATGTTTAATTTGAATTAAAATTAAACAATTATTAACTATTAATATACATTTTAAATTAATGCAAATATGTAAATATAAATATCATTAATGTAATTAATTTGTAATTAACAAATTTTAAAATAAATCTTTAAAAATTGTATAATTTTAAATATTAATATAATTGTTAAATTAATATAAATATGTAAATATATTACAAATAAAATAACTGTAAATTAATATAAAGATATTTTTAATATAATTAAGGAAAGAAAATTAAGCATTTTTTAATTAATAATATAAAATCTGAATTAAAATTTAGCAATTTGAATTATTAATATAAATGTTAAATCAATACAAATATGTAAATATATACATATATAAATATGTCATTAATGTAATTAAGAAAATGAAAACTTTGAAAAATGAAATTTTTAAAAATTATTAATCAGCATATTATTATGATTTCTGAAGATCATGTGACACTGAGGACTGGAGTTGATGCTGAAAATTCAGCTTTGATCACAGAAATAAATTACAGTTTAACAGACATTCACATAGAAAACAGCTGTTTTAATTTATAATAATATTTAACATTTTTTTTTACTGTATTTTTGATCAAATAAATGCAGCCCTGGTGAGCAGAAGAGACTCTTTCAGAAATCTTTTGAACAGTACAGCAGGTCATTGCCGTGTAATGAATCAGCTGTAGTTTTCTGCAGAAGTAACTGCTTGATTTCCTCCGTCGCTGTGCTGCTTTTCTCTCTTCATCTGCTTTGTATTCATGGAATTTGTCAGCGTTGCGAATGCAGATGCCGCTGTGATTGCACTCATTTGTTTCACGAGAGACTTTGACGGCGTAAAACAGAAAGAACATCAAACTGTATTAGCAGCGAGTCGTCATGCGTGATGCGACGAGCGTTTGATGGAAATCACTGCTGAAGTGACATTTCCGCAGCATCTTGGCCTGTCGCTTTGACTAGATAGTGAGGACGGGGTCAGCGCGTCTCTGATTAGGCATCCGCCGTGACCTCTGACCTTTCCGGTGGCACGTCCAATCAGAATGCAGCCTAAAAAGCATGAAATCAGCAGCGGAGCTCTAATGAGTGTGTGTCGCCCAGAATGATTAGTGACGGTTCAAACACGCGTGTGAAAAGGTAACGTGTGCCCGTCGGGCGTCAAAGCGTGCCAAAACACCTGCGAGCGAAACACACACACACACACACACACACACACACACACACACACACACACACACACACACACACACACACACACACACACACACACCGTCTGAAGGTCACTGAACTTCAGCAGGGTGAATCAGGCTTCTCAAATACCAGTGCAGACGTCAGCCCTGAAGCATTTGCTCATTAAACGCAGCGATGCAGTCGAGAGAAACGACAGCAGATGCTGCAGAAACCCGTCAGGAGCCGTAAAAACTCAAACGCATTACGGCTCTTAAAGCACCTGCATCGGACCGATCGAGTGTTTCTGAGACGCTCACTGGTTAAAATGTGGCCCTGCAGCACAAAAGCAGTCTTACGTCGCTGGGGTATATTTGTAGCAATAACCAACAATACATTGTATGGGTCAAAATTATACATTTTTCTTTTATGCCAAAAATCATTAGGATATTAAGTAAAGATCATGTTCCATGAAGATATTTTGTAAATTTCCTACCGTAAATATATCAAAACTTAATTTTTGATTAGTAATATGCATTGCTAAGAACTTCATTTGAACAACTTTAAAGATGATTTTCTCAATATTTAGATTTTTTTGCACCCTCAGATTCCAGATTTTCAAATAGTTGTATCTAGTTGTATAAAAAAAAAATATCTACATATAAATATAACAACTTTAAATATAAATATAACAATATTTAATAAAAATTAAAACAATTCATTTTTTTATTTGTTTTATAATATAAATACAGACAAATAAATTATAATGCAATAAATGTTTGACTAGAAATCTGCATTTATTTAATCTGCGTCTATCCTCTCATTTATGTGTCAGGGTTTGTTCTAAACCTCCAACTTTTCATGTAATTATTATTTAATTAATTAATTAATTATTATTAGTTACATTTTATTTTAAATGCTATAATATAAATACTTAAAAATAAATTATAATAAAATAAATACTGAATTTAGCCATATAACTCTTATTAAAATAATATTATTTATTTGTTTATATTTTTATTTATTTATTTCTCTATTCACTCTTTTGTGTGTCAGGGTTTGTTCTAAACCTCTAGTTTTTAATTTATTATTTTATTTAAATATAAATACATAATAAATATAAACACACATTCTAAATATTATTTAAATAAATATTTAAAAAACACAGAATTTATGCCTATGCCTATAAAAATATATTATTTTTTAATATAAACTAATATAATTCACATCACATGTATTTGTATAGCATTTTTATATGCTATATATATATTTATATATAACTATTTTATGAAATAAAAAATAAATATTTTATAAAATATAATTTATATCATATAAATATCAATCAGAATGTAAACAACAGCAATGGCATCACTGCAACACACTGAACTGTGATTATCAACTATTATTCAGACAACATGAATACTCTCAGCGTTTTCACATGTATTTGCCAGGTTCAGTGTGGTGAAGGTGAAGAGGTCAGAGGTCAAAGGTGAGGGAAGGAGTACCTCGGTCTGGACCATGTTGACTCTGCGCGATCGCAGCTCTCTCACGCAGTTATAGATGTCGACGACTCCTTCCCGCTCCGCCATGTCCAGCATGATGTCAATCACGATGAAGCAGCCCGTTCGCCCCGCCCCCGCGCTGTGAGCGACCAATCAAAACACAGATTCAGATCGACAGATAAAACCACGGGAATAAAACAATCAAAATCACACTAATGGCAACATCTGTCTGGAGAAGACCTTCAACTGAATCTGAAATTTATTTGTGAGTCAGAATTACTATAATAATTAGTTACTGTTGAGTAAAAAAATCTTTCTTGAATTCATAATTACAAGTTTTATGTATGTATTGATAAGTTTTAAATAACTTTTACATTAGTTCCAGCTTCTCTCACTTGATTGTAATGTCAACATATAAAAAACAGAATGGCACTACAAAATAAATAGATATAAATAAATAAAGTTTCGAATAATTATGATTTTGAATGCTTTCAAAAGAAGTTTACGTCTCGCAATTCTTTTTAAACGTTTTTATTGTTTCACAGAATTAAATAATAATAATAAAAAAGGCAATTATGAATTTTGCTCTCACAATTTTCACTTTATATAATGCAATTCTGAATATATTAAGTCAAACTGTGAGAACAAAAGTTTCAAAAAATGTGGAATGTGGAATAATAATGTTTTTATGTTTTTTATACACACACTATTACAGTTTAAACTGTATTTTTGGGCAAATAAATCCAATCTTGGAGAGCAGAAGAAACTTCTTTCAAAAAATAAACAAACAAACAAACACACACACACACACACACACACACACACACATATACACATTTAATTTATTTCTAACTTTTGACTGGTAGTGTTGATATAATAATAACAGCAACCTCTGTTCAATCTTATTGCAATGAGTGTTTCATGATGTGCTTTATTTATACTGTAACATTTTTCAAAAAATAAACATGGATCCATTTTATATTAATAATAATAATAATAAAAAACTTCATTTTTATATTGATAGACTTAGCTTCTCAAAATGTATAATTCAAAAACAATAAAAAGTTCAAATAACAACAAATGAAGTCAGACAGTCATGTTGGTGTTATAACTAGAGTCTCTGTGGTGTGTTCTGGTACCTGCAGTGGACCACGATGGGTCCGGCGTTGGTGGGGGATTTGGCTTTGACCCGCCGCACGAATCCCAGCAGACCCGTGGCGTGATACGGAACGCCGTGATCCGGCCAACCGGTGAAATGAAACTGACTGATCTCACGGATCTCGTGAGCTCCTCGCTGCAGAACGGACAGAGACATCATCATCAGATCTCATACACTTCATCATCATCATCAGACCCGAGCTTTACTAATGAACACACACTTCATCATCACACCTGAGCCGCTCACATTTACACACTCTGTATCTGCTGACAATTGAGTAAAATCTACCAAAACTACAACAACTGCTAGTGAAGAGCTTTTCATTAAACTCAGGATTGATCAAAAGCAGTCCACATTTATCAAACCTACATATTTCTTTCTAACAAAACCACATCAAAACTGTGTAAATATTACTCTGAAACATTTTCAAACAAATTACATAAACGTTCACTTTCAGATGAAAAAAGTGATACATTTTTCACATCAACAGGCATATTCATGTTTATCAATAAAATTCAGTCCAAAAGTGTGTGAAGGCTAAATATATTTGACAAAAGGTTTTGACACTAATATAACTCCATAGATAATGTTCCAGAAAATATTTTTGACAGTAATTGTACTCCATACATCAAAATGACCCGAACACAAAAACATGTAACATTTTTATTTATAAATGGCTGTATCTCTTAAAAAATGACTGTAAAAAATCTTTAAAAAATAAATTGTGTATTTTGAGGGTCTTGAAGCATGCATGTGCAAAGCTTTATTCCCTTACTGTAAACTAAAAGCAAAAGCAAAAAATCCGCACACCAAACAAAATGCAAAGTTCCAAGTTCTTTTGAACAAAAATGTATTCCTGAAGATTTACATGAAAGAGACAACAAAAACTAAAGTGCACTAACAAAAAAGGACCGTGAACTTTGCATTTCGTTTGGTGTGCGGATTTTGTGCTTTTTGCATTTTTAAAAAAAATTGATTTAATCCACACACCCAACAATATTTTCTATTTTACTCAATTGGCACAGAATTGTTTTCATATTTTTGACTTAGTTTAAACTATGCATTTTTAAAAATGTTTAAGTATCTGTTCCGGAGCTGATTAATGGATGTGAAGGGCGTCTCCTCACCTTCTCCACCGCAAACGTTCTGATGACGTACTCGGACAGAAGCTGCGTCTCGATCAGCGTCACCTTGATGTCTCTGTAGATCTCGGTGTCGTCTGGCCAGTACTTACAGCACTTCACCTGACACACACAAACACACACAGACCTTCATCAGAGGAGCACAGCTTCGAGTCCGGCTCGCAACTTCAGGAAGCCGCTTTAACCTCACTAAGCAGTTTTACTATTTCTGCAACTGACGTCATACAAAAATGATAATTCAAAGTGCATTAAATAAAAATGCATTTGAATGCATAAATGCAAAGTGCATTTTATTTGCAATAAAAATAAATAAAAATGATACAAAAAAGTAAAAAAATATGTACGTTTCTACAACAGAATTAAAAAAAAAAAAGCATCTTGCAATTTGGACAGTTTTTTTCCTCAGAATTCTGAGAGAATTTTGCAATTCCGTTTTATTATTATAATTTTTTTTTCACCATGGATTTAAAAAAAAGATAACTGCAAATTTTTAACTCACAATTCCGAATTTTATATCTCACAATTTGGAAGTTTATATTATACAGTATATAAAATGTTATAATCATATTATATATTAAACTGACTTAAAAACTGAGTTGCATCTTGTATAACTTTAAAAAAAAAAAATAATTTTTGAAGTTGGTTAAATTAATTTGGTGAATTAAAGTATGTAAATGTTAACTAATTATATCCTTTTTTTTTCTTTTTTTTTTTTTTTAGTTTTTCAGTTTTGATGTGAAAAAACAAACAAACACTACATTGTAAAAATGATTTGTTGGTTTAACTTCAATTTAGTAGCCTAACTAACAATTTTTGATCCAACAAATCAAACAAAACAACAAGTTGAGTTTATTTAAACTACAAATTTGAGTTGATACAAAGAAACCGATTCGATTATTCATTATATTTTTACATTCTGTGTACATTCTAGTAAATGTGTAGTCTTTCTGAGGAGTGGAGATGAAGAGCATCTCTCGCTCGTCTCACTATCACTTCACGCATCAGAATCACGTCGTGTCTGACCTTTTGTCTGAAACGGTGGCATGTGATTGCGCTCGGTTTCAAATGTCACCCGATCACATTAAATGAACCCTTCAGCGGCGGTGAGCAGGTCAAGTGCTCCTGATTAACACAGGTATTGATGGAGAAACTCCAGATCAATACACCGTGAGGATCATCCTCCATATGCTCTCATTTCAACAGCATTAACTCCCATTGATTCAGTTTCTCAAACGCATCAGATAAACCTCTATCAATACTTTCATGTTTCTGAAAAACATTCATAGCATTTTCATTTAATGACTCTAAAATGTCAAGAGATGTAAGCATCCAATAAAAGCATAAAATAAAAGCCAAGCAGATATTGTTACACCTTCAATTAATGTGAGTCACACATCTTAATCACAAAAAAGTATTTTTACTAGGGCTGTTCGTCGATTAAAAATTTTAATCGAATTAATTGCAAACTAAATTTGGCTGTGAAAAACCCCCCAAAAGATAATTTAAAACTATTATTGTGTTGAATGTTTAGGCTACAATGGCCTAACATAAAGTATGGAACATAAAAGAAGATAATTTGAGAAACATCTCAGTATTTTTTATTCATGCAATGAAAGTGAATAGTGACCAAAACAACTTAGTTACCAACAGTATTCAAAATACCTTCTTTTATGTTGTGCAAAAGAAAGTAAGTCATTCAGGGTTGAAACAACATGAGGGTGAGTAAATGATGACATAATTTATTTATTTATTTTTGGTGAACTATCCCTTTAATGTTTTTTTATTTTATTATTATTTTTTTTTTTATAAATGAAATGATACTCTAAAGAAGAAACTAAAACTACCAGCAGGTGGCGGTAAATGTCTTTATGAGTCGATTCGTTCAAACGGCTGATTCATTCAGGAATTCAGTAAACGGCTCTCTCTATGAACGGGCTACTGAATCATTGATTCACTCGATTCCTTCAAAACGCGGATTCATTCAGAAACTAAACACCGCTGTGTTGCTCACAGATGCACAACAGTTCTGCTGTGGCTTTTTAGGTAATATCTTCGTTGTCAAAATTGAATAAAAACACACAATATTGTGTTAAAAATATAGTACAATATTAACTTCTTATTTACTGAACTGTTGTATAAAATCACATTTGCACATGTGTTCTTCATGACAAAAACAGCACTGGTGTGATATCGCTTATCATATGACATAAACATGAGACAAAAACTCATACAGGTTTTTTTTTTTTGCCTCAGTATCTTGAATTTTAGGGCATAACTGCATTTATCATATTTATCAACAGTGAACTGTATGAAATGTAAGATGACGTACAGGTCTGGGGGCGGGGCTAGTGCGTTAACTGCGTTAAAATATTTTAATCGTGTTATTTTTTCATAACTAATTAATTAAGTTAACGCATTAAACTGACAGCCCTATTTTTTACTAAGAAGTGTTGTAAGTAACTACATTAATATAATTAAAATTAAAATATGTGACTTAAAATGCTACACCAGTAGGTCATAGGAAACCACAATGTACTATTTCGTACTTTGTCTATGAATAGTCTATTAAGTCTATTAATAAAATAAAACAGCCAGTTAGATATTTTTTCACAACTTTAATTAATGTGAATTCACACACCTTAATCATAATTTTTTAATGAAAAAGAAAAAAAAAACTTTTAATGTATTCTAGGCTATATGATAGCTTTAGATAGTTATAGTTTAGATTAATTTTTTTGGTGCTTCTTTAATATAAACAAACCTAGAATAATTAAATTGCTGAAAATAAAAAAAAAGCCTATTTTCAAAATAATTTTCTTTCTAGACATTTTAAAGTATTCTTTACAAACAAATGTTGTCATTCATAAATAAATCAATAAATACCAAAAAATGATTGCAGTCTACATTTTAAAAGTTATGATTACTTATTTGGTGGTTCCTTAATGGAAAAGCGATCTAGAACCATCCCTAGTTAATAAACACGGACATACTTAATTATTCATCTTTTGAAACATCTGCCACCCAATCAGAATCCAGAATTCAACAATGCACTGCTATAAAGCGTCTCCAGAAGGATGTTCCTGAGGAGTCTCTCTGCAATGTAATTCACACATTAATGTTCTCAGTCACACATTACGCTCAGCTAAATGAGTTCTGCACTTCCAGATGTGACACGATACCCGACCTCACACGTCTGACACTCACAGAGCGACCGGACCGGATCACATCTGGACTCAGTTCAGCTCTAACTTCATTACACTTCTCACGCAACGCAAATAAAACCTCATTATGTGGCAATATAATCCAGTCAGAGGAGAATCAGAAGTATTAGAACAGCAGCTCTAATAACTCTCAGCCTGCAGCCGCACACACTTTCCCATCCAATAGAACACGAATAAACATAAGCACAGTGTATGACAACATGATTACAAAATCCACTTTACAGTAAGACAGTGAGCACCACAGCAGCACTGACGGAGAGAGAGAGAGAGAGAGAGAGAGAGAGAGAGAGAGAGAGAGAGAGAGAGAGAGAGGAGGAAACACAGAGACACTTGCTTCTTTTACCAGAGATACATCGAGTGCAGAAATTCTATTTTCTCCAACATCATTAGAGCCGGAATGTGATTGGAGACACGAGACGGAGACACACGAGAGTCTCCCGCTGAGATGAGCCTCCAAACGACTCCATCTCAGAGTCCTCCTCTGGGATCAGATGACAGAAAAACCATCAGATCATTTCAGCAGTTAGGAATCTGTGTGTGTAAGTGAGTGAGAAACAGAGAGAGAGAGTGTGTGTGTGTGTGCATGTGTGCATGTTCTTGAATACATGGTTTATGAGGACACATATCTGTATAATGACTTGGGTACTACAATGTAAACATGGTTTAGAAGGTTTACACTTCCCGTGTCCCCATAAACCAAATCACTCGAAAAACATACTAAATGTCTGGATTGATGAAACGATAAATGATGTATGGATGGAATGATAAACAATGGATGAATTGATGGAAGAATGAATGGATGGATGGATGGAATGATAAACGATGGAAGGATGGATGGAACGATAAATGATGGAAAAATGGATGGATGATGGATGGATAAATGGATGGATGGATGGAAGGATAAACCATGGAAGGATTGATGGATAAATGGATGGAATGATAAATGATGGATGGATGGATGGATGGAACGATAAACAATGTAAAGATGGATGGATAAATGGATGGATGGAATGATAAATGATGGAAGAATTGATGGATGTATGGAATGATAAACGATGGAAGGATGGATGGATAAATGGATGGAATGATAAATGATGGATGGATGGATGGATGGAACGATAAACAATGTAAAGATGGATGGATAAATGGATGGATGGAATGATAAATGATGGAAGAATTGATGGATGTATGGAATGATAAACGATGGAAGGATGGATGGATAAATGGATGGAATGATAAATGATGGATGGATGGATGGATGGAACGATAAACAATGTAAAGATGGATGGATAAATGGATGGATGGAAGGATAAACCATGGAAGAATTGATGGATGGATGGAATGATAAACGATGGAAGGATGGATGGAACGATAAATGATGGAAACATGGATGGATGATGGATGGATGGATGGATAAATGGATGGATGGAATGATGAATGATGGAAGGATGGATGGAAGGATAAGCCATGGAAGGATTGATGGATGGATGGATAGATGGATGGATGGATGGAATGATAAACTATGGATGGATGGAATGATAAACAATGGAAGGATGGATGGAAGATTGGATGGATGGATGGATGGATGGAACGATAAAACATGGAAGGATGGCTGGAAGAATGGATGGATGGATGGATGGATGGATGGATGGATGGATGGATGGATGGATGGATGGATGGATGGATGGATGGATGGATGGATGGATGGATGGATGGATGGATGGATGGATGGATGGATGGATGGATGGATGGATGGATGGATGGATGGATGGATGGATGGATGGATGGATGGATGGATGGATGGATGGATGGATGGATGGATGGATGGATGGATGGATGGATGGATGGATGGATGGATGGATGGATGGATGGATGGATGGATGGATGGATGGATGGATGGATGGATGGAACGATAAAACATGGAAGGATGGCTGGAAGAATGGATGGATGGATGGAACGATAAAACATGGAAGGATTGATGGAAGAATGGATGGATGGAACATAAGCCATGGAAGGATTGATGGATGGATGGATAGATGGATGGATGGATGGAATGATAAACTATGGATGGATGGAATGATAAACAATGGAAGGATGGATGGAAGATTGGATGGAAGAATGGATGGATGGAACGATAAAACATGGAAGGATGGATGGAAGAATGGATGGATGGATGGATGGAATGATAAAACATGGAAGGATGGATGGAAGAATGGATGGATGGAACGATAAAACATGGAAGGATGGATGGAAGAATTGATGGATGCATGGAACGATAAAACATGGAAGGATGGATGGAAGAATGGATGGAATGATAAACGATGGAAGGATGGATGGAAGAATGGATGGAATGATAAACGATGGAAGGATGGATGGAAGAATGGATGGAATGATAAACGATGGAAGGATGGATGGAAGAATGGATGGATGGATGGAACGATAAACAATGTAAAGATGGATGGATAAATGGATGGATGGAAGGATAAACCATGGAAGAATTGATGGATGGATGGAATGATAAACGATGGAAGGATGGAATGGAAGGATGGATGGAAGGATGGATGGAAGGATGGATGGAAGGATGGATGGAAGGATGGATGGAAGGATGGATGGAAGGATGGATGGAAGGATGGATGGATGGATGGAATGATAAACGATGGAAGGATGGATGGAAGGATGGATGGAAGAATGGATGGAACGATAAAACATGGAAGGATGGATGGAATGATAAACGATGGAAGGATTGATGGATTGAATGATTATTAATGTATGGATAGATTGAATTATAAACAATGGATGGAACAATTAATGATAGATAGATAAATGGATGCATTTTTGTGTGTTTTGTCTCCAGAAAAAATTTCCTCCATCAGGATACACACCCTCTCTCTCTCTCTCTGTATCTCTCTCTCCGTCTCTCTGTCTCTCTCGCTCTCTCTCTCTCTCTAGGATTGGTCTAATCTGCTGTGAATCTCCCAGAATGCCAGAGCTGAGTGTGGCTGCAGATGGGCGTCAGTGGAGCGCGGCGGTGGGTTTATGGGTCTCCGTGGGGAAGCAGCGCCGCTCGAGCCCACATTAGATCAGCATCATATAACAGACTGGCTCAGACCAGCTCAGACCGGCACATCTGGACCAGAGGAGATCCATGACTGATCACAATCTGTTCAAACAGGGCTTGATCATTATGATGCCCCGACAAATGCAACAAATGCATGATGAGCATCAGGACTTTTTCAATGTTTTGAGTTTTTAACTCGTATTTTAAGAGCAAAATGTTGTTTGAAGTCTATGAGCCTCTACAGATCTACTGTTTAAGAGCAAATGATTCAATCAAATTATAAGTCTTTTATATAACTGTTATGATGAAGTTTATTCAGTCTTAATACATTTAGCTCTACTTTTAAACACGTTGAACTTTAATGGTAATTAAATAAATCAGACTGCTAATGACTGTAATTAAATGAGCTGATTTCAGTGCTCTTCCGTTGTGAAACAGGTAAACTCATTCACAGCATTAAATAAACAAATGGTTTATTATTTAAAAGGATGAAATGTAATTGCAGGAAACCTCCAGATCCGTTCTTCAGCAGCGACTCTTAAATATCTCTTATATAAAGCACAGTTCTGTTATTATAATCAGCGTTTCTCCGTCTGTCTGTGGATTGGGCGGTTTGTGCTGTTCTGTCTGATAATGAGCTTCATTGATCAGTTTCTGGCCACTTCACATTGATGAAGCCCAGAATGCATCATTTACTCAGCAAGTGATCCTGCGGGAGTCGATTTCACACACTCATCTGAACTGCAGACACCAGACACACACATAGATTTACACACACACACACACACACTCACACTCACACACACACACACACACACACACACACACACACACACACACACACTCTCTCTCTCTCTCTCTCTCTTACACGTTTTATCCTAAAGAACCAATAACAGATTATATTCTGTATAATGAAAATGAATCTTATTGAAGATTATTAAGCACTGGCATTATTTTTATGACAATTAAAAATGCTGTAAGTGATTTAATTTGGCAAATCACTCATAAAATGTCACTACTACTGACAGTGACATTTTTCAATATTAATTTACTCATGAATTTATCATTTAGTGCAGAAAGAATCAGCTTCTTCATGAATCTTCACCAATATTCTGGGGAATAATATGTTGTTTATGAAATGTAGTGGAGTAAAACGTACAACATTAGGCTTCATGATGTAGTAAAAGTTTCCCAAAATAAAAATACACCACAGTTTTTTCACCAAATCTGCAAAACCATTCACTAATTCTCAGCCTTTGACTCATTTCATAAAACACAACGCAAAACACAACACACAATTCTCTATGTAACACACAAATCTAAGTGGAAATTAATATTATGTCAAAGGTGTTTGCAAATGTTTGCTTTTGAGATGTGTTTGTGATATTTGAATGCAGTGCTTCATTTTGCAAGAGATGTGATGCATTTTGCATTTTGTGTGCAATTCTTGGATTTGTGTGTAAAGTTTTGAAAAATTGAAAATGTGTGTAAGCAGTTGAAAAAAAAATAATAAAGAACTACAGATACTTCTAAGATACTTCAAACATATAAAAAATACTTTGCTACTGTACACCACTGGTTATTGAACTGAATTGATCTGAATAATGACTCTATTCTCTTCTGTAGAGCAGCTTTAGAGCTGAAAGTGAGTTTGTCATAATTGAATAAAAAAAAACTTTTATTTTCCTGTTTATTACAGTGTAACAGTCTGTATTGCATAAAGTGCTATAGAAATACACGCTGATTGGCATGATTGCGAATGTAACTCAGAGATGATGCTGTGATTTCGTGAGTCTCTCAGTAAACAGATGATGAAGATGTTCGCACAAACACACACTTTCACACTCACCCTGCCAACTTCCACCAGGTTGGTCACCATGACGATGGTTGCCGTGTTCTCCTGCCACAACATCCTCCAGAAGTCGATGGCGGTCTCCTGCATCGGTCCTGCAGAGAGAAAACACACGACTGACTCCATCATGTTCGGCTTAATTGAACAACCTTTGAGTTACTCCATTATGGAAACAATTAATCTGAATTAATATAGTTTTTAATCAAGTGCCGACTTTAAAAAGAAAATGACTTTTGACAAATGATTAAAAGTCTTGTAATGGCTGTATGAGCTCTTAATGCGAGTTCAGACCTGCTCTCACTCTCTCACTTTTATCTGAATAGTCACATTCCATTCACAGCACTCAGAATGCAGAATGCTGATAATATAACGCGCACACACACACACACTCAAATGTTTGTTTCTGTGAATTGTGGGGACTTTCCATAGACTTCTATTACTTTTATACTGAAACCTGTTTGCATTCTTACACTTTCAGATAAACATAATTTACTATATTTAATCATTTTTGTTCCAATTTGTTTTGGAACGACATGACAGAGAGTAAATGATGACAGATGTAAATGTCGAAACGGTGATTCATAAAATGTAAGTCAATAGCTACCAGTTTTTGAGAATGAAAAAAGTACATCAAGGAACACAAAATGAATCCCCGTGGCTCCTGATGATATATTGAGGTCTTATGAAGTGAAACAATTGGTTTGTGCAAGAAACTGTTTCTCACAGTTTATGTAAAAAGATGAGCTGATGAAGACTAGTTTATTCACTTTATGTGCTTTAGACATGTAAAACATCTGCATTTCACATCATTATTGGGTGCTTTAATAATATAATTGCGTATAAGTTACATCATTGCGTGACTGAAAAGAATCATATTTCCCCATTTGCCTGAGGCTCTGGATTACAGGTAATAATGTTCAGTTTCTTGCACAGACTGATCGTTTCGCTTCATAAGACCTCAATATAACGTCAGGAGCCACGGCTATTCATTTTGTGTTGCCTGATATGATTTTTTTGACTCTCAAAGTGACGGTAGATGCTGACTTGAATTTTATGGATCACCAAGGGCCACAGCTTTCGGAGGAGGATGCTTCTGTTTGGGAACGCAGTCGTGTAAGACAATTATAAAGAAATACTTTGATGACAGACTTTGCTCAGGCATTTCAGAACGACCAAAACAACATTTCAGACGCTGTGAACGAGATTGGTCCGCTGGTTAGTCAAGTTTCCCGTCCCATAGCGCAAAGTCACATGAGTTTTTTGATGCGCACGGAGGAATTTATTCGGTAACTGTGTTTCCATTGTAGTTTATGTGCATTTTTTCTTATCGGATAAAATGTTTATCCTACTCAATTGTGCACATACGTTTTTTATGTGCATTTTTAGTATTTATGTTTTTACATTTAGTCATTTAGCAGACGCTTTTATACACAGCGACTTACAAATGAGGACAATAGAAGCAATATATATATATATATATACACTACCGGTCAAAAGTTTGGGATCAGTAAGACTTGCAATGTTTTTTAAAGAAGTCTCTTCTGCTCATCAAGGCTGCATTTATTTGATCAAAAATACAGAACTAAACTGTAATCTTGCAAAATGTTATTACAATATAAAATAATGGTTTCTATTTTAATATCCTTTAAAATATAATTTATTTCTGTGATCAAAGCTGAATTTCCATCATCAATACTCCAGCATAAAGCATCACATGATCCTTCAGAAATCATTCTAATATGCTGATTTATTATTAGAATTATCAACAGTTGTGCTGCACAATATTTTTTTGGAAACTGTGATACTTTTTTCAGGATTCTTTGATGAATAAAAAGTTAAAAAGAACAGCATTTATTCAAAATATAAATATTTTCTAACAATATAAATCTTTGCTATCACTTCTTATCAAGTTAACACATCCTTCCTGAATAAAAGTTTTAATTTCTTTCAAAAAAAAGAAAGAATATAAATTTACTGCCCCCAAACTTTTGAACTGTAGTGTATATTATTAGAAAAGATTTCTATTTTAAATAAATGCTCTTCTTTTTAACTTTTTATGATTTCTGAAGATCATGTGACACTGAAGACTGGAGTAATGATGCTGAAAATACAGCTGCGCATCACAGGAATAAATTACAGTTTAATGTATATTAAAATAGAAAAACGTTATTTTACATCAAAATAATATTTCACAATATTACATTTTTTTCCTGTATTTTTGATCAAATAAATGCAGCCTTGATGAAACTCCTTTAAAAAACATTAAAAACCATTCTGATCCCAAACTTTTGACCGGTAGTGTATATATATATATATATATATATATATATACAGTATATACACACACACAAACAAAACAAGTAGATTGAATAGAAAAAGAATATAGAAAGCTAGTATTAGAGTTTTTTTTTAAAGAAAAACAAACATTCAAACAAACAAACATATCTGTTAGAAAACGAATAGAGAGTGCAAGTGATAGAGGCTCAAGTGTTTTTTTTTTTAAATAAAAAAAAGACATTTAAAGAATGTTAAAATCTGTATGACGAGCTCCATGGAACCCAAACATGAAGACAAGAGCTGATTTTTCAGAAACTATACGACAGTATATTGATGTTCAGCTGAACTCGTTTACATGTGTTCGTCAGTCACGAGGTTTGAAAAGCGTGTTTCTCAGCGTCTCGAATGCTCGAATGTCTTCTCTCGCTCTCACGAGTCTCAGGGGACGCTGGGATGATCGCAGGCGAGCAGGACATCTGCTGAGTGGGTTTGTAAAGCCTGTCAGACACACGCTCTCATCTTCAACATTTACTGTCGGCACAAAAACACACACACACACACACACACACACACACACTCACTCTCTCTGCGTGACATCTGAGGAGATGCTTCTGCTTCACACGAGCAAATGATCTCCAACAGAAGCTGCTCGAGATCCTTCACCATCAGAACCAACAGCAGATGAGTTCACAAAGCCATTCCTTACAGACTCACACAGTGCAGTGAAGCTGGATCTGCTCTACAGCGCCACCTACTGAGCATCACACATCAAATACTGCTAGTTTTGCTTTGAATATTTTGTCTCTTTTGATTTCTTGGGTGATACAGAATAAAACGTTTGTTTGTTCCTCAAACAAAACTGACAACATTCTAGTTATAGGAGTATTATCATTAACTAAAACTAAAACCATAAAAACATTTCCTTTCTTGAAACATAATAAACATTAACTGAAACTGAACATATTTTTTAACTAGTTGCCAAAACTAAAATAGCTAAAAAACAAACAAACTAAAAACTACAAAAAATAATAAAAAATAAATACATTTTCGAAATTAATACAAATATTGTTGTATTTTAATTTATTCTTTCTACTTCAAAATGTCATGTTAAATTCAACATAACTTGCCATTTTTGTAATTGTTTGTATAATTTACTAGACATTTCTGAGTGAAAGTTTCTACACCTTTTTAAGCGTAATAAATAAAAAATGAGCAAAAACTATTTCGACATATAAAAAAAAAAGTGATGCAAATGACAAAACGCAACAAAATTACTAAAACTAAATTTTAAGTGAAAACAGAAAATATAAAAATCTAATTCAAAATCTAAATATGAAATATTAATATTTTCCAAATCATTTTTACATGTCAAGCAGGAAATTAATTTGTCTTAGCAACAATTGTGTCTATTTAAGTATGCATCACAAATATTATGTAAATAAGTATGATTTTCAAAAAAAAAATGTGGTTAAACTACAATGACTAAAATCTTAAATATCAATTTAAGTTATTTTAATTGTTACCAATAGTAATTAGGATTTTCACGACACCAGAATGTTATTTATTTAAACCAAGACATTACAGATGTCATAATCCTCAATAATAAAATATTGTATAATATAAATATAATCTAATACTAATTGTTTTTATCATCTCCAAATGCAAACGATCTTATAGTCCAGCTCTAACCTGATAAATGGGATGAATGCATTTTTTTATATTAATATTAATTTCTCTGAAACAATGTGAAATGTGAAACATGCTATTAAGTAAAGAAATAAATAAATAAATAAAATGAAACATTGTAAATAAAGTTTAGGGTCATGCTGTGGGGACATCATGAAACATTAATGAAAAAATGTCAATTATAGCAAAATCATAGTCCTACTTTGCTTTGATTCTTTCAATCAAACACGCATGAACATGCATTGGAAAAAAACAAGCTAAAATAAGAGCTGATATTATTGGATTTTAATATTAGCCAAATCAGACTGATGCCAATAACTAAAAGCACTAATATGAAGCAATAACAGCAGGGAGCTTCTCTCGCTCCAATCGAGAGGCGTTTTATACGTGAAACCACAGCAAACGCTTGATGACGGTCGCTTCCCGACACGCACCTGGTGCTTCATATTCCCAGAATATCTTCAACTGCACATTCCCAGGAAAACAAAGGTGCTACTAAAACTTATTGGAGAAGTTTCAGCAAAAAAGAGAGAAAAAACAGGAGGAAACTTTATGCTGAAGTCTGAAGATTCTGCCAAAAGGGGTGAAAAACTGCACACACATCCCGTATCACAAACTTCAGCTGTCAAGAGCTGCTGACAGTCATTTCTGGAAACCCACCATTTCTCATCTGATGTGTGTGTGTGTGTGTGTGTGTGTGTGAGAGCTGCTGAATTCTCCTATAACAGCATAATATAAAACACACTGATAGACACAAAGTCTCCGTGTGCTCATTAATATTACATGCTTGCAACACACACACTGCAGTGTCGCTCACCTGCTTTAACTATAACCAGTCACTAAACATCAAATTAGAGCAATAAAACCAGAGGAAACTGCTGCTCAACCTGCTGAGACTGTCAGTGTGTTTTTATGTAGTTGCTAAGGTGTTCTGGATGGTTGCTAGGGTTGTGTTATTGTGTCTGTTCCCTTAGTAATGTATCCGATTGGATTTGGAGCACAAACGCTGCACTAATACTCAGGACTAGAGGTTTATCACATTACTATCAGCACTAGTACTAGTGAGAACTGACTTAACTAACCACACTAATGGGAGAGTTAGTGATGATTAACTGGTTTTCCTACACTGATCTAATAACTGTGAGCTCAAGCTGCTGCTGAGAGTCCAGAGCTGCACTTACTGCCAGAGTGTGTGTGTGTGTGTGTGTGTGTGTGAGAGTGAGTGAGTGAGTGTGTGTGTGTGTGTGTGT